TTTCGACGCTAGCGAGTATGCCTCAACGCAGTTAATGATCGTCACTAGTGACACAGTGGTCGTCGTCTCGATATACTTTTCTTCTTGAAAGCTGCTGGTGCATGAAAATTAGAATTCATACATTTGACTAACAATACACCTGCTGTCGGTATGCTATTTAAATTTTTCAAGGTCCTTATGCTGCAGATGGTGCATGACGTATTAGAAGTCACGTGAGCAGATAAAGAACCTATCAAAAGTCAGTTTGGAAAATAGCAAGATAATTCGGCGCGGACCAGTTGAGTTGTATTTTTATCAGCGCATATTTCAATTCACTCGACCATACTCGTCGGTTTCCTTAATTTTCCTTGTTCAAACCAAGGAAAAAAAAGGAAAATACGTAAGAGTTCTTTATAATTCTGCTAGAAACTGAAAACTGGTTCCTCACTTCTAACGATAGTTTATGGTTTTTTTTTTTTTTAAACCAGGTGTAGCCATTTTGAGTTAAGAGAGAAAGAAAATATTGGAATTGCGTACTGAACCTACAATACATTAATTTTTAAACATCTTTTTCCTGTACGTCGTTTCGCAGAAAATGTTTCTTTTATGACGAAGTTGTTTACGTGGGCGATGGTAAGCTCTTTACTTGCGTTAAAGTGCGTCAAGAAGATCAATAAATGGCACATCTGGGAAACCGCAAAATGCGAATTTTCTTACGATCAATTCTATTTTAATAGAGCTGAAATTTACAAAACGTAAAGAATCGTAATAAAAATGAGATTAAATTAGCAGTACAAACGAGCAGACTTCAGTAAATTATCGCGACCGATTTAAAAAGGAAAGCAGATCTGAAATCGTGATATTAGGCAAAGATCACTAGCATTTAAAATCGGGAGTATTGGTGATGCCACATAAGTGAGAAACAGATATGCTCTCTGGCAGATTCCAAATATACATTATTGCTCGATATCATTCCGTGATGTTTTATTCAGTAGCCACGGGAGAGCATGAAATTTCTTTAACATATTGATTACTACATGAAGAATTTAATTTAACAAATCTACAGGTCAATTTCTGATTTTTTAATGGAACGATTTGAAACAGGAAGGATGATCACATTTAAATTGCAAATATCACATCCTTGAAATGCATGCTCAACTGAGTTGCGGCACCAGTGTTAGACAAGAGGCATTGTTATCGCGACAGGCCCAATATTTATTTAACTTCCATCATACAGTCCATATTGAACATACTTCCTTGTACATTTGTCACGATACGGTTTTGTAATCTATAAAATTAGCACTGTCTTCGAATCGCGCTAGAACTTAGAATGAATACCCACTTGAAGCAGTAATACAAACTGCAACAGATTCAGTACTGAAAACCGAAACATGCTTGAGTAAAATGGAGACAGATTAGAAAGCACGGAATTTAGAGAAACAATTGAATTTGTGAAACATCATGATGCGATTCTCTGGTGCTCTAATAGTGTAGGGGTAATTAGGATAAGTTTTTCCAGAAATACCAGCTACTGGTACACGCAAGATGGCAGGTTTTCATTCAGTGGGAGGTAGGGGGGAGAACTCCATGTTAAAGGGTCGAGAATACTCGTCGGAAGACAGAAGTGTAACAGCTCTCGTAAGCTTGTAATTCTCTTCACTGTTAGCAGCTGTTATTGTTTTAAGGCTAGGGGCATTGTTTCTGTTGTTTGCTTTATTGTTCTCTCAAAAGATATCAAGCCATTCATGTGAGGCCTGACGAGAGCTGCTACATCACCCGTCGGGAAATTTGAATTAAACCGCTTAAGGAGGCCAATTTGGGCCCGTTTCGAACCTTGTTTCCAGGGCTTTTCTCTTACAGACATTGGGATCCCTGTGAACGAGTTTGAACAGAAGTGACATCGCTTGTTTTTTGTTCCGTTTTCTTTTTTCTTTTTTTTTTTCTTTTTAATTTTTACCTTGACTGCACCCTTATTTGAGTCATGCGGTATAAACATCACCCTGATAACAACAAAAATATACCACAGCCACAGTTGCGTGGTAGAGTGGTGCTAAATGTAACCTTTAAAACATTCACGAAAATCGTGGACTTTCCCATCTGATGAATCCACATAAGTTTAGGAGCTCCTTTGAAATGAACTTTTTTTTGTTAAAATGATGACTTTTGACCCACTGAACGTCAGGAATGCTTCAGCAATCCACTAACACTACGAGCTAATTTAGACCACTGTAAACACGAGAGTCATATTTCATACACGTCTTGGCGAGTGTATCTTTATACCGCACCTTAAGGAGCGCTGCATTATCCTGAGACGCCAGTGTTTCGTCATGGCCGAGAAACAAGAACACTCATCTGCTCGTGATTCCCAGAACTGTTCATCTACGCTCGTTTGTCCAGTGTCGTTAGTATCTTTATTGATCTGTACCGCTGCCTTGGTGCGCGTTGAGATAATAAACCAGCGAGTTCACGATGTTGAAGATCTTGTGGCGGACGCACGACAGAATCAGAACATAATCAAGGTTTTCATCGATGCAGCAAGCTTGGAACGCTCTGAAAGAGTCGAGTCTGTTGGAGAATTTGATCACAAGATTACTAAAGAGAGTAAAGATGAGGCAGAAGGTAATGGTTTTGTTCGTTTGTAAAGTACTAGACCTCTGTAGGTCGACACAATATGAAATTGTTGCGGCTCACGTACCGGTTGCAAAATTTTTTCTACCGTATAATTGTAAGCTAAGAAGTTTTTAACTCCTCACTTATTTTGATTTCAACTTGTATAATTCAAAGCCCTGAAAATACCTCTACGTGGCTAAGTACGTCAAGACATTTCGATACTCTAACTACCAGAGTGCTTTACAATGTCCAAATATTGTAAAGAGAAGTTTCATTTTGATCACCGTTATAGGAAGAAAATAATCAGAATAATGATACTATACTATCGCGCGTTTGAAAATGAACAAACATGTGAAATTGTTTCATATATTCTTTCGAAAGTCAGACAAAGATGGAAGTAAGGTCAAGAGAATCAGCCGATCAAAAGGCTGAATTACATTTCAGTAAGCATCACTCACTAAGATAATGGTTTTAGAAAAGTTAACTAAACAAAGTCTTTGAGGCCTTACTTTTTTTCATAGCTCAATGCAAAGGGATCCAAAAATGAAAATGTGATTAGCAATTTCAATTACCATACTGGAGGTGCAAGTGAAAGTGACGTCATTGGGAGGTCAAATTTGTTTTGGTATAAAGCCAAAGCTGAACGAAACAGCAGTTTGCAAAGGTCAGTTGACGCGCCAGATCAGTTGTCAGTAAGTGCATATCAGTATCAATGTTTCTCAATACGATATCTTTCTTTCTACGTTATTGACAGTTCATATCGGAAGAACCCGCCGGTTTTCATCTGAAGCTGGCACAAAACCGGACGAGCTTACTATGGAGTCAGTCAGAAGTGAGATAAACAAGACATTAAACTCTCTGACGTCACGATCATTCTGTTCACCCAAACGACAAATCTGCGTGCAAGGACCGCCGGGAATGCAGGGTCCTAAAGGATCACGTGGTAGAAGAGGACCGCGTGGAGTCACGGGAAAGAAAGGGTCACGTGGTGACAGAGGAGAACCAGGCCCTCATGGAAAGCGGGGACCTATGGGGCCACCGGGTCGAAAGGGGGAACAGGGAATCCAAGGTGTGCCGGGTCCCAGGGGTATCCCCGTTGCAAAGGGAGAACCCGGGGAATCTTTTTCACCTCCCACGGTAGTGATTTCCCCGATGAACCACACAGTCATAGAAAATCAAAGTGCCGTGTTCCAGTGTTCTGTCAGCGGAAATCCTAAACCGAGCGTCACGTGGTTACGAGCGAAAAGTGCTCCTTTAAGGAGCCGCAACGGAAGATTAGAAGTCCGTCACGTGACACTAGATGACGCAGGAGACTACACTTGCGTTGGAAGAAACTTACTGGGCACTGCAAACGAGACCGCTGGAATGATCGTAAAAGGTATGTCAAACGTTTGATCGCCTTGCTATAATTTATGGTTAGCATGCTTAGAACGGGCTGCATTTATCTCCAACGGCCACCATAACCATGTAAACATGCATCCTATCAGCATCTCTTGGACAGGATAAGACTACCCTCCATGGAATCTCGAAGAATTCAAGACATGTTATTGACAATACATAATAGCAT